TCATCACGAAGTCCCTTTATAGGTTTGCAATACAATATTAATATTTTTAGAATACCTACATGTTAATGTAGATGTTACAAATTAATTATATTTATATTAATTATCAAATAAAAGTTGTATGCGTCTTGGTTGCATACAAAATGATTATATAACGTCTTCAATGATGTTTTGTTTTTGCTTTTTARCAATGTCTTTAATATGCGTGGCATTAAATTAACAATATTTTTAAAATGTTCCCTGCAGTAGRGGCAATGGCCCCTTTGGTCACCTTCTGCGGGCACCTTAGCTTYGAGGAGACTAATATTTAGACCAATAAATCAAATCGGATTTATTACAACCGAACAGCTTAACGGTGTTAACAATCTGATCTATTACTATGTAGGTATCTCTTAGTTATATCGTTATAATAATATTGTACTGTCAGCAGGGGTGGTTTTAAGGTGGGTGTCTCCCCCCCCCCGGGACGTCTATGGAACTAAATAATAAGTCGGCAATTTCAACTCAAATTTTACTTGCAATGAAATAATAATATATACCTAATATAATGGTTGTATATATTTTATTTTAAACATTTAGCATTTGTTGGTTGTCTAAACTAAACTATATAGTATTATTATGCTATGTTTGGTTTATGATTGTACTATAAATAGAAAAAATAATGAATATCTATTATTGTCTTGCGTTTATCATTTACCACATTGTATAGTTCTTGAGGACATCGCTGCACAAACCATAGTCATAAATAATATTATTTTGTACGGCCGTACAGGGACTGAATTGAAAAATTATGTTAGTGAATAAAAATAGTTTTTAATAAATGCAAATTTGATATGGTTCAATTCAGTCTGGTCTTTCTTTGCCTGCCAACTTAGTCGTAAACAATATTAGTCATTTGTTTAATAGGTACTTATTATACCTATTAGGTATATATCTAGTAAAAAGTATTTCAAACGATTTATGTTTAAATTTTAAATCGTTAACGTTGTTTTGCTTCCGCTGCTGAATTTTGTACAAGTTAATATAGTTATACGTGTTCAAAAATGTCTGATAAGTTGAAGTGTAAAAGGAAMAGAATTAAATTAGAATGTATGTCTGTGGGAGTATTTTTAACATTGATTATAAATTGAAACATGAAAGACAAGTACCTACATAGTAGTAAAAAAATTAAAACAAAACATATGGAGTAGGTACCAAGCATTTCATTTGAATAAGCTCCAACACAACTKAAACAAGTTGAAATATGTAYTATAAGTAAATAATAATAATATAATATATTTAATTGTTTTTAAACTTGTCTATTAGTTAGGTATTTAATTAATTAATTAATACCATCGTGTATATTGCACAAATTTTTAAAA